TTCAAGACTCTGTTTCTATACCCATCGTTATCCAGAGGAGCTGGCTGGGTTAGTTCCCAGGACCCTGGAGACAGAGCTCTACACATGGGGCAAAAGGAGGAAGTCCTTTTTAGGTGGGAGGAGGAGAGCACAGGACCCGTGTGGATCAGCCACAAAAGAACATAGAGGAACAGTGACCAGCAGGCTCTGCACACCAGCTACCCACCGAGCACCAGTTGAGACAGGGCATGGGCATTTTTAATCACAGTGGTCCCCGATTCAGTGCATGTGGCATCCAGGCAAACTGCATGTTTCACACTATCCCAAGCACAGCCTGGGGCAGCACAGCCTTGACTCCATTTCCACTGAGGAGCTGGTCCCATTCTTACCATGGAAATAAGGAAACATCTGCACAAAGAAATGCCAAGGGAAAACCGAGCTTTGCCCAGCTCAGTTCCTAACTACAAGCCTCTTTCAAATGAAGCACTACCAAGAAGTCTCCCACAGGTAGCAGCAACAATAGGAATCTTATGGCTGCTGGACCCAGGTATTCTTATCACTGCACTGATTAACCATAAGGCACAAAGACAAAGGCCAAGAGTTTTCCAGAGGCACCTGAACGGAGCTCTTCCTGCATCTTTATATAGACGCCCAAATGAGCAAGGTGATTTTTCCAAGATGTTGGCATTACTAGGGAAGTGGGAGTCCCACAAACACTGGCCCAAACACCACCAGATGAAGACAGTCAGAAACCGGACATCCAAGTAACTGCATTGCAAAGTAGGCCTGTGACAGAACGCAGCCAAGACTCCTGAAGCTTTGCTCCAACCACCAGCGAATGCTGCAGTCAACAGAATTTGCATTCAAGCATTTCAAACTGCCTCAGGGTCTGCACATAAAAGCCACAGCACTTAAACACCTGACTCAGAAGCACGTCAGTTTTTTTCCTCAGTTTGTTTTGTATGGGAGCAGGTCCCACCTCACCATGGAAGGCAGTGTGCATGCTTGCCCCTTTCTGCCTGAGTGCAGGTGACCTCCTGTGATGGAGTGTGCTTGAACCCCACGAGGGCAGGCTGACTACAGGGGTGAGTTTGCTGCCCTGAGTGAGGACAGAGAGTGGTTGCATGCAAAGCGCAAGGCTATTGCCACCACCAAACAGGAAGAGGCTTAGCTTCAACTAGAAAACCACAGCCAAACAGCAACTGAGAAGAGAGTGCACTGCACCACGAGCAGCATTCTTGTTCTAGTCCTGGGGCCAGCAATGTTTTTGGACAGAGCACCAAAACACATGCTTCAACCTCGACTTGCAAGAAGTTGGCATGCCAGGGGCAGACAGTGGGGGAGCCACAAGGGGCTCAACTTTTGCTGGGTCAATGCAGCCCCAGCCCCTTCCCCACCATCTGCCTGGAAGGACATGTGCACCCATTGCCAGCAACAAGCCAGGCTGGGACTCCGCAGACCTCAGTGAAGTAGTTTGCAACCTCCTTGCTGCCCACTGAGAGCAGCCATGGCAGACAGCAGAGGCCTGCCCAGAGCCCAGACTGCCTGTGGCAGGCAGCCAGGAGGCTGCAAGCTTCTGCACCAAGGTTTGCAGAGCCCCGGCCCAGTTCCATGCTGGCAGCAGGTGCACATGTGCCTCCGGGCAGATGGTGGGGGAGGTACAAGAGGCCTGGTCCTTGTTGTGGCAGCACAGCCCCAGCCCCAGCCCCTTCCCAACCATCTACCACAAGGCACACATGCTAAGGAAAATGCCATTGCATGCCATGCTCTGGCATGCATGCCAGGGGTTGCCAACCCCTGTTCTAGTCAGATCTCACCACAAAAGATGCTGGGGCTAATCAAAGACAGACCATGGCAGACCGCAGATCTTGCCCACAATCCTACAGGGATCAGTAGGGGACATTGCTATTGCTGCCAACCCCATAGCTCCAGCAGTTGCAGAAAAAGGTCCTCAGGGTAATAAGAAAAGTGTCCTACACTGCCCTGTCCCCACACTGCTAAGGACTGCAAGGGATTGTTGCAGCTCTGGCTGCTCCCAAATGCCAGCATCTCGGGACTCTCTGCTCTCGAACTCATGGTTCCTCCTCATCCCATTCCCTCAGTCCAGAGCCAGGAGTCCGACACCTTTCACCAGGCCTGACTTCCTCACACTCCTACTAAGGGAAAGGGCACTGTGAGCTTGGAGAAGGGCCTGGTCACCCAGAAGGGAGCGTACCCCAGGTCAAACTATTCCCTGAATCACTTGCAGTGGGAGAACCATTATGGAAAGTTTAACACAAAAAGCACTCTGCTAAGGCAGAGCTTCATGTTTGTGTTGGGAGAGGACCCTACTGGGCCTCCCAGAGCCCTGTCAGCTTAAATCTGGACAAGCTTTCCTTTTGGGGTTGCAAGTATCACCAAGCACCCTTAAGAGGCCACTCTGCTTCCCACATCCATTTGTCCCCACACTCACTATGCCTCTCTGCTCCATTCGGTTTACCTCAAACTACAATGTTCATTTTCCATCTGTTCCCAAACCCCTGCCAGGGCCTTCGGTGCACACAGCTGCACCCTCATTAGAGAGCCCAAAAATGGATTGTGAGACCCAGATGAACAACTCAGCTTCACAGAATATCTGGCCACTCCCTCCATGCCCAGCTCCCAGTGGGACTAGCCCCTCCAAATCTAGACTAAACAAAATGTTTGGCAGTGGCCAACTTAACCTCTAGCTTCCAGGGATCCACCACTTTCCCTGGGGGCCCCAGCTCCCAGTCTGGCTGGCCTGTGTGATTCCTCACTGCTCCACCCCACTGGAGTTTTTGTCCCACTTATCTCCCTCTCCTGCCCCGGTAAGCAGTCCATGCTATCCCTGCAGCGCGCTACATGGGGCCACGCCCTGCCCATTCACACCAGGGCAGCCCATGCCATGCTCGCACCAGTGCCCACAGCCCAGCCATTGCTGCTCTGGACCCCCTGCCTCCAGTGGTGGCTCCTGCTCCTGATCTTGCCCCTGCAGCTCTGCACCAGTCTGGGCGAGCAGCTTCAGCTGGGCTCCTGCCCCAGTACACAGGGCTCCAACTCCCAGGAGCTGAAGCTGGAGCCCCAGCACTGGGACAGGAGCCACCTGGCTGAAGCTGCTCGCCAACCCACCCAGAACGATGTGGCACAGCACAGCAAGGACAGAAGCAGCTTCCAGCGAGCTGTTCCCAATGTAGCTGCCGCCAATCAGGTGCTGCTCTGGACCCCCTGCCTCCAGCAGCACCTCCTCCTCCTGCTGCACTTGGAGGGATGCAGTAACATGAGCCCTGTCCAGCCAGCACCTTGCACTTGGCATTCCTCTCCCAGCAGTGCGTGAACATGGCTTAGCTTTGGTGCCCTCCATTCCCCTGAGGGCCAAGGCATAGTTTACTTCTGCTGACCTTGGCTTCCAAGCACCTTGCCTCCTTTCCTGCAGGGGCGGATCTTGGAACAGACCAATGTCTTTTGATCTTGAGTCTTGGCAGCTTGCCCTGTTTTGAAGGTTAGGGCTAAGGATTCCCCCTTCCGAGCTGAAACTGCTTGCCCAGAGTAGCACGGCACAGCGTGGTATGCCGGGGCAAGAACAGAAGCAGGAGCTGTCACTGGAGGCAAGGGGGTGCAGAGCAGAACTAAACTGCAGCTGCACTGACAACAGCCCTGCCAGAAGCGGTGCACTGAGCAGGGCCCAGGCCAGCAGGAACCCGGCACAGGCTGCCCCAGTGCGAGTGGGCAGGGCAGGGCCGGGCCCTATGCAGAGTGCCACAGGGGTAGCCACAGGCCAGATCTAGTTACCCGGTAGGCCGTATTAGAGCCTGCTCCCCCCGTCACCTGCACCAGGACACGTGCATCCAGCCCTCTCCTTTCCCAAGAGCCCTTCCACCCTTGATACTGCTCAGAAGCAGGGTTAAGCAAGTCTTCATCTATTACTCCACACTGCCCCTTCTTCCAGTGTCACAGGGTAGGGGGAAATAGTCCTTCCTTTTCCCTTGGCAAGCTCACATCAAGCTTGTATCTGCCACCAAGCCCCTCCCCAACATCTCTCTCACACTTGCACAGGCAGGCATGCACGCGCACGCACACACACACACACACACAGCTGCACTGCTCCCTGCTTTCATTCCTACCCAATTTCCTGAATATCTTAATCCTCCAGTGCCTACAAGAGTAATTAGCAAGCTTTTCCCTGCTTCTTCCAACCCATTAGTCCTGTGTCAATTAGGCTCCCCAGGCCTAATTGACATTTTCCTCTGGATTTTGTACAGCACTGAGCACCATACCCCGGCTCACAGAAAGGATGGTGAAAATATAATGAGACCAATGATGCCCCCTGCAGGTCAGATGCTTCACTCAGTGACCTGCAGAGCCCTTTCTTACCCCTTGCTCCCAGTCCATCAGACAGTTTTGGAGCCATTTTACAGAGCACTTCCTTGACAATGAAGTACAAGTGATGATTTAAGGATGGATAGGCTGTGTCAGCCAGCTTAGGAGGAGAAGAACCAAAGAACTCTGCAAGATCTGTCTGTGTCCAGCAGCCTCAATGATAAAAGCTCCTCTTTTATACTCATTCCAGTCAAATCCCAGCTATTTTCTCCCATAAGGAACTTTAGAATTGAGTAAGAAAACCTAAAGCATGGCAAGCTTCTGCAAGACCAGGCTGTATTTGATCTATAATCAAGGCCTTGTGTAGATGTCCTCTACAGCGGTGCAACTGTGCCAGCCATAGCAGGGGAGCCAGCCATTCTCCCCAGGAGAGCAGCAACTTGGACTGTGGTCCTGACAGCCCAAATGAGTGGACATTCCTGGGCTGTCCCAGAAGATGCACAAGCCTGTGGCAGGACGCCAGGCTTGCTCCATACTGAAGATAAATCACTCCCCATGAGGGCAGCCTGCACCACAGCATGCCGTTTTTAATTTAATTGAGGAACTCCAAGTAAACAAAACCAGAGCACTGCCTAGCAAGGCCTAGGGAATGGATGGCTCCAACTTCACAAATGAGCCGCTGCCTTCCCTTTCCTGTTCCTCACCTCACTTTGCCACCTCCCTCACGAGTCCAATCCTGCTGCTGCACGGAGGACCGGCGAAGTCCTGCTGGGATTCAGGACACCCTGGTTCCATGCCCAGCTGGTGATGTCCTGCTGCTGCTTCGCACCAGTCCTTCCTCCTTTCTGTGCCTCACGTGCCCCACAAGCACAGTGATACTTGGCAAAGCACTTGGAAATCCTCGGGTAGAAGGTGCTGCAGAAGCACAGAACTTATCAGCTAAGGCGATGTCTCAGGAGCTACAGTTGAAGGATGAAACAAGGGATGGGCTGAGATCACCTAGATCTGTCCTATTTTGTGTTCGTTCCATGTTTTCAATACGCACCTAGCACACATGGACCAGGGCGTCTGAAATACTCCAAAGCAACATGCATTAGACCCAGTCTCTCAAACGTCAGCAGGCTGCTCCGCTCAGCTGCACGGCTGCAAGGATCGGTGCTGTCACGAGGCTACAACACACGCGGGGTGCTCATCTAGAAGCGCGCCCGACTGCTAGGGGTGCGAATGAGCCCACTCGGACACTTCACAAACTTTCTGGAGGATACGAGCGCTGGGCCCTGTGCACCCCTCTGGACAAGCCCAGCCCACGGGCCGCTCTGGGGACTCTCTCCTTCCGCACGTATGGCTCAAGATGTCCAGCGGCTCCTACTGCTCCCGCCCGTCGCGCAGCCTTTCCCTCCCAGCCCCGCATGCAGGTCAGCTCCTC